TTCTTTCTTTCTTTATATATATATATATATGTATATATGAAAACTAGGCGCATACCTAAGACCATACACACACACGTACACATACACATATCTTTCTATCTATCAATCTATCAATCTATCTCTCTCTTTCTTTCTTTAAAAGAAGAGGTGAGCTTGACCTACCCCAAATGGGCTTATTTGTGAGTGTGTTTTATGAAAACTCGTCCATCAGCCAGTATGAGGCCACGAAATCTCAAGCCACTTCAGCAGCCATACATAAACTGACTCATTCGATTGCTTTAAACAGAGGATTTGGCCAAATGCCCTGTTGAGACGGTTTTGACTTGATTTTGATTTTAGCTCAAATTGAACATAAACTCCTCAAGATTGTTCATCTTCTGTCGAGGGATGGTTCAGGTCTGTGACCTTTACGATCAAGACGTGGACTAGCTACTTCACATAAATTATCTTGTCTCTTTCCGCTCTCGATCAGCACGTGGGACAGTCTCGCTCGAGCCTGGATCCCATAAACATTCGGACAGTTCTGTTGTCTGGGCAACAGGCTTAGCTCTGACATAGCGTGCAAATGACAGTTGGTTGTTGTTGTTATTCTGGGATTAATTAACTCTGAATCACCTGTCAACTCAGCAAGGCCAGTTACATGCTTCTTCAGGTTGAATGGCAAATTTAGATTTTCTTTTGTTCGTGACTGCTGAGGGTGTTGAAAAGAGTAGTACATTAAATATTGCTTGCAATTGAGGAGAATCGCGAAACGACCTTCAGGTCTCTTTGGGAGCTCCGGAAGCATTGGCATAATCTCCGACTGAGGCATCGAATAAAGTCTACGAGAGACGCATGGCGGAAAGACAAAGACCGGAAGGGTTTTCAGTCGCAAAAGTGTGAGTGAAACTTGACAGAACATTGTGTTCCGATATGTCCCAGTTCCGGTGATGGTGGAGATTTCGTGGTACCGACACTGTAACAGGACATATGCGTTCTTGAATAGGACAAACGAATAATCTCGCAAACACAATAACCCTTTAACTTTCTGCTCCGGAAAGTAAACAAAATCACACACAAGAAGCCAAAGTGGTGTAGATGAAGTGTCATCTTAACAAGCAAGCCATCAAAACTGACGAACCTCTTCCTGAAGTCTGTGAATGTCGCTCCAAGTCGGCGGGACCCGAAGTGAGGTTGACGGGGCCGGTAGAACAACTTCCAGACGTTGCAGTTGTCTGGCGGATGAATGGAACGGGACGAACTGGAGTGCAGAATTCAGCAGTAATCTGAAATGGCGAAAAGCAATTATTGTCTTCAACATGTTTTCACAAATGAGCAGCAAAGTTGACAGATGATGCAATTATGCTTATCGAGTCTGCAGTCGGGTGCCTACAGAACTAAAATGGACGCAAACTCGAGCCACAGACGACTACGTTGCAGACACAGACGGGAGAAATAGTTGCGCAGGAATCGCATGTACCGCAGCTTCTGATGTTTATGACACTCATAATCGTGACTTTTTGCGCTGGACCAGACATATTCATGGACTCTTTTCGTCTACGGTGACGAGCTGTGACATGGCAGGACTCAGAGACCGATCTGGAGCTGGTGCTTCTGCTCAAGTCAGCCTGCGGCTTGTAAGTTTGCTCGGTCAAAGTTCGAGGCCTGTCGAAATGTCCCATCTACGGACAGGCATCGGCCAGGCTTTGATACAGTTTCGGCACCGCTCATCCGCCTTTTAGGCGGGCCTCGAACCAAGAACGAACCGGTCGCCGGGCGGACCCGTTAGCCTCGGGTCGCCACGACTCCACTCACATTGGACAACAGGATAGACCTGATTGCCTAGGCAACAGTAGGGCCATTCGGTTGACAAGACGACGAGGGTGGCCCGAGGTAACAGCTCTGGCTGGTGAGGCATGAACGGCTTTTTGGGATGCATGGCAAGACGAAGAGCAAACCGCCACTTCAATCAATCGTGGACACATTCACGAACGGTACATGAAGGAACGGATGGGAAATGGTACAAATCGGCAATCAGGTTCCTGCTAACTGCATCGCAAGCTGGTACAATACATCCTACTTTCCGTGTCTGGCGCAATCGTGGGTTCTGAGGCTTTGAAAGGTAAGATATGAAAAAGTGTCCGTTTACCAACAACCAACAGTACCACGGAGCTCGAGGTACAGTTAAATGAGTGTGAAAAGTGGCGCCGATTTCTTTGTGAGAAAAAAACTGTGTGAAATAGAGAATGGTGCAGGTATCGCAATCGCAAATCGGCCAACAGTGAGAGCATCGTCTTCAAATCAACACGATCCGACATTTTCACGATCGTAGGATCGTGGGATCCGGCTCTGCTTCGATT